CATAACAATAAGAGTACAGCACCTTGCATCCCAGGCTTGTAGACATCTTTACAGTGATCGTTTGTGGCTCACACACCTGGCGTGAGGTAGGTAGGCAGTAACTATCTTACAGAAGAGGAAACTGAGGCACAAGATGTCATACAGCTAGTCTGCAGAAAAGCTGGGGAAAGAACCCAGGTGTCCTGACTCTCAGTCCTATGCTTTAGCCGCAAGATCATCCTTCCCTGAGGTATATGGCTTAACTCTGTAAAGCCCTTGGGAATCCAAGCGGTGTTCAAAATGCTACAGAAAACAAAGAGCATTGCAATGCACAGGGTTTTGCAACTCTCAAGGAGGAAGCACAGTCCGGTGGTTTTAGGACACTAGCCTGGGATTTGGATTCAATTCCTTGCTCTTGTGTGACCTTGAGCGTAGTTTCTGGGCCTCACTTCCCCACCCGTAAAATAGGGATGATATCTACTGCACAGCACTGTTGTGGGGTTAAGTACGTTAAACTCCGAGCAAAGAAAACGTCTCTTTGTTGGTGTCCTTCACTGACAGATTTCACCCATTAGAGGCTTTAAGCAACAAACAGTCTTCACTAAAGGACAGACTTTGTGGATTCTCGTCTAAAAAGTCCAGCCAACGGCAGCTTCCAGGGAGCTGGCTCTGCAGTGTCATACTGTGACCCAGCGGACACATCTAATTTTACCTCGTCACGTTAGCATCTAGGGTGGGATTTGCCGGATGTGAGCTAAAAAAGGATCATGTAAATGAGGATTATAGCTTAAAAAGCCCACCCACGCGCCCATATAGCAAACTGCTAGCACTGCTGCATCGGGCTTCAGCAGAAGGAAACCGAATAGGGTGGCCATGACATACAGATGCAGAGTGTGTGTGTGTGTGTGTGTGTGTGTGTGTGTGTGTGCGTACACGCATGCATACAGCATGGCCACACTTTTCAGAGGGGCTCAGCACACATAACCAGGGCCAGTGTTTCAAAAGAACTCTGCACCCGAAGTGTCACAATAGGGGCCACTGGGTGCAGAGCACTTTTATAAATCTGGCCCCGTGTGTGTGTGTGTGTGTGTGTACTTCACACATGCACCCATACACATTATTACATAGACCTATACATACGAATAGGCATGTGAGTACTTGTGCACACACACACACACACCACGCACACAGAGTACTGATGAGCGCATCAGACTATCTGCTAGCTACGGTGCCATCATCACAGGGATGTCTCAGCATCTTACTGCCCGTAGCTTTTTGTGTACGAACAGAGGGGCAAACCCTAGAGAGGGGGTACAGCACCCCCTGCTGGAAAGTAGGGGAAGTCACAAGCACCCCCATTGCAAATGAATATTGGAAACGCTAGCATTTTGCTATACGCGCCCGTCCTTCATGGTAACCGCCTACATTTCAAAGCGAGAAAAGGCAGACAGATAAAAAACAAGGGACAAAGCTCTGTGTAAAGAGAGGAACCAGCCACAGTAGGGAAACCAGCCCACACTGATTTATTCCTGGTCCAAACGCATGCGTTTGTCCCAGCGTATAACCCTTAGCCTGGCTACTGATTGAAAACAAATCCAATCAAACCCTTCTTGCTAGCTCTTCACTGGATATGGGCCATCAGCCACCAAATATGGGACACCCCTTCAAATACAAGCCAGGTGGTCACCCTCAGCTTTCAGCCCAGGGCACTCCTGAGCGTCTGATCCATTCTCTACGGGGCGGGATCAAAGGGGCCATGTTCGGTGCACGCAGGGAACAGACTCAGACTTGTCCTTCTCTAAATTCTGCCATCCTTTCTCACGCCCTGTGCCCTTTGCGTGGTACATTAGGCTCGTATCATGCTGTTGGCCCAGCGTGCAGAACAGATGAGAAGGACCCTAGGCCTCTGCCCATATTACAGACAAAGAGGCGTAGAAGAAAAACCTCGGCCTGAAAAGCCAGAGCGGGCTGTGAAGCAACGCGTCCCGTTCTATGCAAGGCCAGAGAAGACGTGAAAGGGGCTTCTGCCTCGCGAGTGCAGCTGACACCAGCATTAGATTGCCAATAGGTAGGTAAAACCTTCCTCACCACTGCCCAGGAGAGAGAACTCTTCCAGAGGACCTCCAGCGGGGCACTGTCTGATTTCCCTAATCCGTGTGCACATTTCTATGGTAGAGGCTTGGGAGCTTGCACATGTATAAGACGAGATAGTCAGAATGGCCCCTTCTAGCCTTAAAAAAATAGATCCATGTGCGTATAACTTAGGGTCTGATCCAGTAAACACTATGGGTTTGTCTACACTTGGAAATGCACCAAAATAGGTACTCTGGACTAATCCGTTGGGTATAAATCCTGCAGTGGACATGCCTATATAGCCATTTCAGTACATTTCAAAGTGCCGACAACCTCCTGAGCAGAGCGCCCCCTGTCTGCAGGATTGGAAAGTACTCAGGATAGTAACTTGTCTTTTGGTCTGAAACGTGCGACCTTCCTCCCTGTGAAATAGCAATAAATAAAGAGTGCAGGTGTGCGCACACGCATGTGAACACTTCTACCCCTTGCTGGCCAGTGTGTGTGTGAAGGCCTGTGCATCTGGGGAGGGGAAAACCAAAGGGGTTACAAGGTCTGGTTCAGACCTGAATCTCAACCTCAAAGCAACTCCTCAATTGCCACCCTCTCTCCCCTCCGCCAACCTTCACCTCCCAGGGTGGCTTGCAGACAGCTCGGCTTTTCTGCATCAAGACTTCCACAAGGTCACCATCCGTCAGTGACGTTCAGTGGGGGCTTTACTTCCGCACACAGCAGCCTATTTACTTGCCATTGTGCTCGTGGGGGGACGCCGTTTGCCTGACTGCTTGCTGGAGCTGGGCTTTTGTTTGGTTTGGGGCTGCAGGTTTGTGTTAAAAATACAAGGCTATTTCTGGCAGAAATGTTTTCTCTCTCTGTGTTCCTTCTGCTGCCCCCGTACCGCCACCGCCTCCTCTTTGGCTCGCTGAGCTTTGTTTTCCTAGCTGGTGACCAGCCTTGCACGGGTAAACAGAGGAAAGCGTTCTTCCTAGTAGACTCCCATTTTTCCAAGGTGCTGCCTGGGACTGGGATATCAACTCGGAGAGTTCTCTTAAAGGGACACAGTCCTGATAAATATCCTACGTAGGGCGGTCTGTGGCTCCCAGCCCTGGGCTCTGACCAGTAGACCATAATCCAGGGAACCCAAATGCAAGAGTCGAGATAAATCCAAATACCTCAAACCCTAGGGAAGTTTTGAGTCTAGATCCAAACTTTGCAGCTCAGATTCATTTCTAGCTCGTACAAAAAGCTTTGGTTTCCCCTGATTGTTGTTAGTGTTTTTAATGCTAATAAAATAGGTCCTTTGCTTGTTTGTTTTTTCCGCATTTGGACTCAAATGTTCCCCCGCAGGATTTTGTGCAAGTGCATGAGAACGGAGCATTCCCGTGGAGCCGGCACGGCTTAGCAGTGCCCATTTTATTATTTAAATCGTAACTGTCGCTCGGAGCGCAGAACAGCCACCTGAGGAATCATAAGAACACGATAAAAACATAAGAACGGCCATCCTGGGTCAGAGCAATGGTCCGTGTAGCCCAGTAAGTATCCTGACTTCCAGCAGTGGCCAGTGCCAGATGAACAGAACAGGGCAGTTACTGAGTGATCCATCCCCTGTCGTCCAGTCTGAGCTTCTGACAGTTGGGTGTCTAGGGACACCTGGAGTATGGGGCTGCGGCCCGTACCATCTTGGCTAACAGCCATGGATGGACCTATCCTCTATGAACTTATCTCATGCTTGTTTGAATCACAGCTCCTCATTTGAGATCACTCAGTGAAGACATTTCAAAGCCACCTTGCCCACAATAAAGAAACCTGCAGTTGCTTGCGGGTCTGACTCCCCCCTGCAGTACTGAATACAGAACCCGCACAGCTGCAGGAAGCCACCACAGGGGAACCCATTAGCTGCCTGTCAGAATGGAAACCGGTACCACCAACACAATCAGAAAATGACTGTGTGCTGAACAGCTTGATGTTCAGGGATAACAATATATACAAAAAGACACCAGCAGTTTCCCAGACTGGGACCCTCTGCAGTTCAGGGACCAACCGCGTAAGTCAAAGCAACTCCACTTCTGACACTGAACGCCGTAACTGCCACATGACACCACCACAGCCAGTGATTGAACACAACTGGCACCAACTTGTTTATTCCCAGTTTCCCACGGCGGAGCAAATTTGCCGACCCCGCTATGCAGTCACTAGCGATCCCTCAGAGAGGAGGGGCTGGCTGGCCTACGCTCTTCCCTGCTCTCTGAAGCAGCACATAATGACACTCAGCTACTTCCCAGGGCCTACCCAGAGCTCTGGCCCCTAGGAGAACATCAGCACCAGCCCAGGGATGGGCTCAGAACAAAAAACGGGCCAACCTTTTCCAAAAGCAACCCGTGATTTTGGACACTCAAGTGGGGACTCCTAAAAAGGGTCTGATTCCCCAAAAGTGCCGAGCACTCACCCCCTAAAGAGCAGGCATCCTCTCATGTATCAAGTTAGGGGCCCGCAAACGGAGACAGCCAAAATGACTAGAAATGTTAGCCTCACACGCTAACACTCCCACACTTAGGAGAAGTTCAGGTCCCCTCTCTAGTAAAAACAGCAAACGAAAAACAACCATAGCATCGTTCACATCATCACAATTATTAACAATAATAATCCACAGCTGTGACAGAGCACTTTGTATCAGTAGATCTCAAAAGGAGAGCTTTATAAAGGGAAGTCAGTATCATTATCCCTATTTTAAAGATGGGAAAACTGAGGCAGGGAGAGTGAATTGACTTGCTGAAAGTCACACATCAGGCCAGTGGAGAACTGGGAATAAAACCCAGGTCTCTGAAGTCCAGTGCTCTATTCAGGTCACACTGTCTCCAGCCTCGTCAGGTTACACATGTGACAAGAACGAACATTTTAAAAAAGCTCAAAGAGCTCTGTCGGGAAACTCCCCCAAACCCTCATCTTCCTACCGATTGAGACACCTGGAGTCGGACATCACTGGCATCCAGTGGTGACGTATTGGAATCCTGGGATTTCCTCTCTGAACTGGACTGGTTCTCCTGGTATTTCTTGGATCTCACAGGCAGAGACAAGAAGTCCTTTCCCGTGATCTTCAGGTTTCCCATGTGGTGGCTATCCCCATTCTGCTCCTTGGGAGGACAAGAAACAGTTATTGCACAAATCATTCAGCTGAGGCTTAACGTGGTGATTGCAGGTTTACATCTAGAATCTGTAAGAAATTAACCTGTAGATTAAAAGGCATAATGATGGTGTCAGGGAGTGTTAGGCATAGAAAGTTTTAGAACATAAGAACGGCCATACTGAGTCAGACCAATGGTCCATCTAGCCCAGTATCCTGTCTTCTGACAGTGGCCAATGGCAGGTGCCCCCCAAAGGGAATGAACAGACAGGTTATCATCAAGTGAACCATCCCCTGTCACCCACTCCCAGCTTCTGGCAAATAGAGGCAAGGGACACCATCCCTGCCCATCCTGGCTAATAGCTATTGATGGACCTATCCTCCAGGAACTTATCTAGTTCTTTTTTAAACCCTGTTATAGTCTTGCCCTTCACAACATCCTCTGGCAAGGAGTTCCACAGATTGACTGT